GAGAAGTGAGAATCAATATTGTAGTTGATCTGTGGGAAGCTGCAAATAATCCGGATTTAATTGACCGAATGTCAAAGTATGAGCCTATAAACTTTGATTCTGATGACGTTGTAGAAATTGATTTACTTACTATTAGATTTTATTTTTAGAATATTATTGGAACATTATATATAGGTACATATCTTTTGCTTACTTTTGTTCTTTAACATAGGAATAAAACATCTTATATACAATTGTCAAATATTATATTATATGTTAGAGTTGAAAATTGTAACACCACGTACACACATGTACTTTAACATAGACGATGTGTACATGTACTTTACACTAGATTAACCATTGGTTATTAGTTATCGATTTGTGGTGTTTGGATCTAATAACTTTTGATAATATCTTTAAATTTGCGTGAAATTAAAATCAGATTATTCACACAGGAGATATCAGAAATGTAACACAAACATGAAACATTTAAGAGGACAAGCACAAAAACAACTAATGTATCGGTGGCTGGCTCGATCCATCAACAAGTGAGGCTCAGTCGATGGCCAAGATACACAAAGTGCCAAGTAAGAGATATAAGTGTTAGTCAATTTAGCCACAACGAGTACCCATTTAATCTACTTAGCCTCTCGCTAAGCTTCTTCAGTCTCTGCTGATCTATGTTCTTGACTACCTTCTCACCACCGGTTCGGGCAGCTGCTTCACTGGAACGGGACTCTGACATATTGAGCCAAACACAGAAACCGTATTTGAGTCTTTTTTTAGTATTAAAATTTGTAGTACACAATACAAACTACAAATTTTAAGTCTTTTTCTAGTAAAAAATCTGGATTTACCATATTACTTGTTCCACAAGAGATTTACCATATTACTTGTTCCACAAGAATTACAAAGTTGTGATATCCTCTGTTTTTTTGTTTCTCTCTCTTGCATACGTCGCTTTAAATCAGAGTCCCAACAAATTAGCAAAATGTTCGAGGATACATATAGTGCATGAAATAATGATGGCAGTGACCCAGCCATTCAGAATAATAAGATAAACAAAAGCACTTTAAATCAGAACAATGTTGAAAAATCTCAAATATCTGACGTCAAAAATCACCACGACATACAAAATAATTGAACTCAAATGTAACACAGTAGGAATATGTATAAGCAAGTCAAAGAAACAGCTTCGATAGTTTTTCCATGAAAAGATATAAAAAGGTAAAAGGAAGACATCATCCATTAAAAAGCTGTCGGACATGCAATATTCTATATACCTTTGGCAAATAAGGCACAAACCCTAGAAATAATCTTCTGAAACTCAAAAAGGAAACCAAGCAAAAAAAACCAAACAGAAAAATCCAAATTAAATAATGAAATCAGAAGTGATGAAACATGCATATGGTTCAAATCGTTCTTACTACTTTGCTCCCTCAAATATAAAAACAAAAAAAAAAACAAAAAGTACTTGAATTCTTCTAGGAAATCAAGCTTACCTATATTGGAATTTTATATGTCGCTCTATTATTTCCTCCAGTATGATAACAGCTGCACTTGTGGTCTTTGGACCCTTGTGATCCTTGTGATGATCTAAGCTTGTCTTCAACAGTTTGGTATCATTGTTTTTTGTTTCTACCAGGTCCTCTTCGTGTATCAGGAGGTAAGACTTTGGCATCTTCAACATGTTTTGGGACGCGCCATTCATCTTCAGGAATCGATATTGGATTAATGCTTTCATCATATGCCATTCTCCATACTGTAGTGCTATACACTTCATCTGCGAGTGGATGTAGCTTCTTGCCCATAAAAAATGCTGCTTTAGTGGCATATATACAAGGAATTTTTCCTAAGTCAAACTTTCCACAAGAACATGTTTTACATTCCAAGTCAACAACGCAATCGAATCTGTCGCCTTTAACTTGAAATCTATCAATAGTAATTGGATAAGCAGCCAATGTTTCAGTTTTCTTTGTCCTTCTACGAATCTTATTCTCCACCTCAATGGTTAAAGGATGCTGGTGCTTTGCACTTAATACTCTACACTCATAAAACCACCGTGTTAACATTTCCACGATGCTGTCCAGCAGAGGAAATATTGGATACTCTCTAGGTGTTCTCAATGCAGAATTTATCGATTCAGCAGCGTTTGTCATCCTTATGTCAAACCTGAAACCTGGGAATAGACAACGGGCCCATTTTTTCACGCCAGCTTCCTCTAGATATATTGCCATTAGCGGACTAGTCCTGCTAATTTGGTTGAAATAATCCTCAAAATCAGCAACTCTAATGCTTTCGACGCCCTTTCAACCAAGGCCGCTGAACCCTTTCTCTTGAAATGTTTCACCACATTGGACAACAGATGGTGGATGCAAAATCCATGTCTAGCTAATGGGTATACTTTCAGAAGTGATTTAGCAATTGAACCATGTCTATCAGACACAAAAACCAAACCTTTTTCATCAGCTATAATAACCTTTAGTTGCATAAAAAACCATTCTCAAAGAAAGATCATTCTCTAAATCAGCAATCCCAATGGTAATTGGATACAAATTAGAGTTACTGTCTATGGCTGTAGCAACGAGAAGAACTCCTTTGTATTTTCTCTTCAAAAAAGTTCCATCAACTACAATCACCCTCCTAATGGCATTGTAGGATCCTCTTATGGATTGACCAAAATAAACAAATAGATACTTGAATTTACCATTGTAATCAGTTTGGTAATTAGTATGCGTACCAGGATTAGCTTCTTGCAACATGTGCAAGTATTTTGGTATTTTGCAAAAACTTTTCTCTGGAAGACCTCTGACAGCACTAACCGCATATTCACGGGACTCCCATGCTTGGGCATAAGAGAGCTCGCAACCATGCTCCGTGCGCATAATGTTGATGATATCATTCGGTTTAGGTCCTTCCTTGACACCCACGTATTTATGCATAATAAGATTTCCAATCGTTACTGCTGAAGCTGTCCTAGATTAGTTGCTTTTCTTTGAAGGAGCACATGTATGTTCAGCCACATACTTGTTTATTTTGAAATACGTACACCCCTCTAAACACTCTGCGCGAACACTCCATTTGCAAACACTCTCTTTGCAGCGATTACACCACAATCCTTATCAGATTTCGTCACCCTGTAGTCAAAATTATACTTCATCGCACATATTTCCATAGTTGCCTTTAGAGCGTCCTTGCTTGTGAAATGCTGCTCCTCCTTGAAAGAGCTTGTCAACCAATGATCTTCACTTTGCATGTCATCAATGTTTTCAGATTGTATCCCATCATCACGAACAACTTCAATGTCTTTGGGATTGCTTTTGGAACCATCATTCTGTTTAAACTGATTCACACCTTCTGCAGATTTTTTCTGGAAATGATGCTCCTCAGCTTCATCACTTGAGTCACGTGGGTCCTCATTTAAATCAATATGGGCTCTACTCTTTCTCTCTTGTTAACTCTAGCCTTAATTGTAACATATAAACTTATCACAGGCTTCTTTCTCAAATACCCAACCAAAATTCTAACTTGTCGAACGGTTGCGATAAGGACTGGCAGAGATTCTAAGTTACTAACCAAATCAGTAGGTAGATAACTGAATTCGACATCAACCATACTATGTTCTACGCCAAAGTCTTCTGAAACCATCATCTTTAGTTCTTCAAGGGTAGTAGTTGATTGCAAAGTAAGTAATCTGGCACGTTTTTCTTGATCAACAATAAATCTCCACTTGTTGTTGCCAAATGAAGTCCATATACCGCACCTCAAATAAATTTTCAGCATAATTATCTGTGTTAAACAAAAAGATTTCATAAGTTCTTACATATAGAATTTGCATAGATGCTAAAGCAAACAAAAAATTCAATAAACTCACCAGATTTATATGAAAACGATCCAGTACTTTATGGTTTATATCATTGATATTTGCTGAGATCTAAAAGAATGAAGACGGCATGAAGAATGGAGATAAATTAGGGATGAGAAACGTGTTTCAGTTATTATCCAAAACAGACAAAACGTATATTATTCAAATTCGCAGAACATATAGAAACTGCAGAAGAGACATTCTAAAACTTGCAACTTGCTGAACAAATATTATGAAGCACGCAGAACATATGGAAAAAGATTTTGTAAATATTTTCTTGTTACGAGTTTGGAATAATATAATTTTTTCGTTTCTTTAAATATTTGTTTTTTCTTTTTTAGTATTTAAATCAATATTAAAAACAATTTTTAAAATAAAATTAGTTATTAAAAAATATTTTTGTAGGGGTAATTTAAACATAATTGTACCAACAAAAATAAAGGTGTAGATGGACAAACTGATAATAAAAATTATCTTTTATTTCTATGGAGGAGTCGCGTGTAACATCCTTGAACATAAATAACCAAATGAAGATAGAAGAATTGAATGGAGTGATCGAAGATTTTCTTTGTTAGTGATTTGGAAGAGTTATGCCCCAAGATTAATAATATCGGATTAACCAACTCCTCATACAAACAGTGAATGTATTATGTATCCCCTCATGGCAGAATGACCAAAATGAGCAAAATGACAATTAACCAGCACCAGATTTGGCCAAATTGAATCAGAATGTTTTATAGTCACGATTAAAGGACTAACCAAACTTAATCATTATTGGAGTAATTAAGCTAATTTGAGTGTTTTGTGATGTTGGGTCTGATTTTACAAGTTTCCCCGAGCTAAGTAGACTGTTGATTTGACTTTGGTTTAAGATTTATTACTCCTAACCTCTTAATCTGGTCTGAATTACTTTTTTTTTTATCCCAATATAGAACACAAATCAAGCAGAAAACAATAAAGTAGCGACAGCATAGTGATTGAACTAGAAACACAAATGCAAATAACAAAGACGCAAATGACGTTTTGGGTCAAAATCTCTCGAGAATTTCAGCAATGTCTATGGATAGCGCATACAAAACTAAACAACAACATATAGATCTCAAAAGGTTACAATATGAAAAAGAGATAACAAAAACCTGAAGCCATGTCTAACGCCTTACTCGAACAGACTGAAACCCATGTCCTGCAAATTTAATCAAATGCACAAGTCAGCATCACTTTATCATGTCATTTCAAGAAATGATCTCAAAAAGGAAAGAAAGATAGTAAAAAACTCACATCGTCAGATTCTTCCTTCTCTTCTTTCTTCTCTTCTTTCTTGGCCTCAGCAGCAGGAGCAGCACCGCCTCCACCATCAGCAGATGGAGCGGAAGCCACCGCAACACCACCGCCACCTGAAGGTACTGAAGCTAACTTCTCCCTTCCGACAGCAATTAGCTCAGCCACATCTTTACCTTTCACTTCCTTTAGCAAAAGCTCAATCTGAGCATCTTCTGATTCAGCACCAACTAAACAAAGAATGATAACAAAACGTCACATTTCATCATTTGTTGCTCACCATTTACAAACATCTTCTACATTAAGCATCCTCACGAATATAGTCCCATTTTCACACCACAGGTACTGCTTATTGAACCACATTGTTGATATTTCTTCTTCATTACTAGACGTTCGTTCATATAGAACTTCACATTTTCAACCAATACATTCGAAAACGAATCATTTCAGGAACTTATTAGTTTTTCAAATCCTTTATATACACATTAGAGCCTATCTCAACAGCGAATTCTCTATTCACAGTCACTAATAAACCGTCAAACATTAAACGAACCATTTCAGGTTGAGTAAATTCTCACAGACGCTAATTATACTTCAAATTAAGAATATACGCATCAAAAGCCTATCTCCCACTATTGTAACGAATCTTAAGACAGTTGCAGTCAAATCGATGAGAATTTTCTACACGAGTTTCAGATTTGAAGAAGAAAGAAAAGGCAAGAACGAACCTGATCCGAGGATAGTTTTGATATCGCCAGAGGTAGGGGAAGCTTTTCCGCTCAAAACGGCGAGTAAGAAAGCAGCGACAACCTTCATTTTCTGCGAAAAACAGAAGAGTGAGTGAGAAAAAAATGTCGACAGAATTAAAATAGGAGAAGAAGAAGTAGAAATTGAAATGGAAAGGAGGAGCTTACAGCAGAAGTGATGGATCTCGCAGGAGGAGGAAAGCTTAGAGATTTTGCAGACGGCGATGAAGGAGTTGAGGAAATATGGAAAGTATTTGATTTATATACAACTAGGGTTTACGGCGTTAGTTCTCTGTTCAATATACTGGTATACTCATTCGGGCCCAGTTGTTTTCCAAGCCCAAACTTATATGGGCTCCAGTTTAATTTGGTCATATTAAACTAAGAAAAGATGGTTAGGTTAAGCGTTTTCTAAAAGAAACCCATCATCTACTTCGAAATTGCAAGTTAACCCTATGTGCGCGTGTCTCAATTCCATTTTTCTAGGTGAAGGGGATCGAACAGACCATCCCCGCTTCACTGAATCGCTATCCACAGCAACGACATCTTATATGGTTTCAAGAGATACGTTGTACGGATATTTGTTGACTTCTAACGTCTGTCGGGCATTTGCCCCAACCAACTATATCCGTTAGCGTGAAATCTGCTTAATACATATATATTTTTTAAAATTAATTGTCAAAATTTAAGATAACTAAAATTTTTTTTAACAATAAATCTAAAAAAGTATTCAATAAGAATAATTAAAAATATATATCAAATTTACATATAACAAAAATTAATATTTAATTAAAATTAGAATTTTTAATAATTATCTCATTCCATGCAATACGTGAAAAAATCATCTAACTCTATATTAAAACAGAAATATTGGATGCTAAATTTGTTGATGTGTTGATATCATAGTTTTTCTTATCATTTTCTTATTTAATTTATTCTATTTATTATTATTATTTTTATAACCAAACGCTATTTTAGCCAACAACTAATTATTTTGCTACAAAAATATATTCAATATCAATAGTTAAAAAAAACTAATATATAATATTTTTACATGTAATATAATATAAATATATTTTTAACTGTAAATCAAATATTTTTTGAATAAAATATGATTAATAAATAATATAACTAACAAATATATAAATTTAATATTATAAAATTGTACACACCTATTTCAATAAACTTAAAATACATATACAGATTTACTTGAAAATAGAATGATTTTAAGTATATTGAAATCTATTACTAATAAAAGTTTATGCTAAATACCTTTAAGAGTGTCCACATAGGATTTAAAGATTCAATTCTATTGGTACACATCATCATTATTTTTAGTTAATTATATATTGTATATAAAAATTAATTAATTCGTTTTAATTGTTATAAGTAAAATTTTTAAATTTTAATTAATTATGTTTTTTATTGTTATTAGGAAAGTTTCTAAATTTTAAGTTAGTTATTAATAAAAAAGAGTTTTGAAAATAGATCTTATTTTTCTATTAACAATAAAAAGGTAAATTAATATATAAATAGATTATGAAAGAAAAATCATATATATTGAACAAAATTATTGAAAACCATATTTAAAACTATAATTAAATTATTTTAAAATTTTAATCACGATAAACAATTAAAATCTGAACTGCTAACTTAAAATATATTAGTTATGGTCCATGTTGATATCTTATGCCAATGAGAGCGTCCACATATGACATATATATTCAATCTGATTAGTCTATATCAGCGTATTTCATTAAACATAAAAATAAAAAATATTATTAATAATTTAAATAAATTAAAACATACAAAAATATAAAATTAGAACAATAGAATGGAAAATTAAGATAATTTTTTAGCTAAATAAAATAAATTGATGTCAAAAGTCTAAATATATTGTGAAAATAAAATGGAAACTCATTGTCACAAAAACTAAACTAACAAAAACAAATATTTAAATCAATAACCAAAAATTTAAGTTAAAAAAAATTAGCATATATATTTTAAATGAGTAATTTATTTAGAAAAAAATATTAAGATTAAATTTTCATATAAACATATAAAATTGTTATTTAAAAATATCAATACTACCAAAAAAAACATTCATCTTAAATTATCAAAAAAGAAAGTCATCTAAAACTTATAATTTTTGGGGAAATATTTAAAAAAATAACACAAAAATCTTAACAAACCAAAAATGATAATTTATGCTAATTACTGAAGAAAGTAATATAAAAAAATGTTTAACTAACAAAACCAAAACATAAATTATTTCTTACAACATGTCAATATAATTAAAATGAAAGTCTATATCGAGAAAGTTAACCTAACAAAAAAAGAGGATATTAACTTAATATCTATGTTATTTATTTAACAAAATCAATATAAACAGAATAAGTAAGAGAATAAAAAAAAACTTAAATAATACTAAAAAACTTAACTAACAAAAATAATATAAATATTTAAGCTAATTATTTAAAAAATCAATATTAAGAAATTAATTAACTAAAAAACTAAAACGAAAATTAAGTTTTACAAAATATTATCTTTAAAAAAACACTTAAAAATATATTGTCTTGATACCTGACTAACTACTTAAAAAATTCATATAAAAATATTTAACTAACAAAAAATTTATGTCTTCAAAATATCAATATTTTTAAAACAATGGAGTGTTACAATAAAATAAAAATCAATATCAAGAGAGGTAAATTATCAAAAGAAAAAGTTGTATAAAGTAAAATTAGCTCGATATTTAGGCTAACTACCAAATAAATATTAACTAAAAAAGCAAATGATGGTATAAGCTTTTGAGAGAAGTTCACTTAAAATTTAGAATAACCAGTTATAGCATGTCAAAATAGCATTTTATTTAATTTAAAAAGTAAATTTAACAAAGAAAAGGCATTTATGTAAAAGATATTTGATTAATATATGTGCCACCTATTTGAAAAATCAATAACAATAGAGAATAATTAAAAATATATATGTTTTAAGTATATCAAACCTACAGAAAATTAGATAATTAAAATAAAATAAAAAATTACCATCGAAGGTATTTAAAATAACAAAAAACAAGATCTAAGAAGAAAATTAGTTTGAAATATAGTTCCAAAAACATTCATGATTTCTAAAATATTTGTGTTGACTATGAATAATCATATAAAGTTTTATTAGGTTATACAAGTTTCTAAATCAAACATATTATTTAATTTTACAAAGATTAATACCTTGGTTGCATCGGGTTGAAAAATTAACAAAGTAAAATACTACACAAGTAACTTTACATTCAAAATATAATAAGTAATAAAGTCTGATTTGTATACATATTTACTGCTTATAACTTAGCCAACATGAACAACACATGAGCAACATCCTCTAAAATTTTATTTAAATAATATAATATGACAAAATTATGAATCAAATTCAAATGGGAATATATAAAGATAAAATATTCAAATCAAAACATGAATAAACACACAAAAGGTAAAAAAAAAACTGTGATAATGTGAAGTCTCAACATCATCTTACATGTTTAAAAACAAATATTAGCAAATAGTTGACTGCAAATAAAACAGATCTTATAAACTGAAAAGAGTTATAACCTAAAATTCATAGAAGATCTGGTGGAGAAGCAAAAAGTAGCTTTACACGATTAGTGTAGCTTACTAACAAAAGTAAAACTAAATCAACATATATCATATATTATATATGTATATGTATATGTACATAACATTAGTGAGACATTTAGTAAAGAAACTAAATATTTAAACATATAAACCTTTTAAAAAAAAAGAACCATAGAAATTCTAAGAATACAAAACAAAACACCAAAAGTTTAGTAAGAAAATTATTTTCTAAATCAAATATGCACATCGAAGTTGGATAATTCGTTAAGTGTCATTACTATGATTTTACTTAATAAGATTTATAGTTTTATAAACAAAATAGGAAATACTACATATTATGTTTTATTTTTTTATATAAAAGAAAATATCTATAAATATATTATAATATTGATAATTTAAAAGATATTAGCCAAAAAATTCAACCAAATTATTTATACATACTCGCGCGTAGCGCGAATTAAAAGCCTAGTAGGTTTATAAAATTTTATAATATTATATTTATATATTTGTGAGTTATATGAATATAAAGTGGTTTCACTCACAATTTATCGACAGACCAAATCTATGAAGGGCTTTTGTATGTGTAATAATCCAGTTTGGTTTATGTATTCTATCTACATCTACAGTAGAAACTCTATAAATTAATAATGTTGGAACTTTAATATTTTATTAATTTATAGAGTTATTAATTTATCAGTTTTAGATAAAATAATTTTTATTAATAATTAATAAAAAATAATATTTTCTCTAATATTTTCTTTAAAATTTATAATATTTTCTTTATAATTTATAATATTTGTCACAATTTTCATTATAAAATTAAAGATAAATGATAAAAATATTTTAATTTTAATATGAAAACAATAATATACTCATATTTTAATATATTATCAAAATTATATATTTATATAAAATTATTTTATATAATATTTATTAATTGATGATATTAATATGACTATATCTTACATAGGTTTTTTAAAAAAATTATTATCATATTAATTTATCGATTTATATTAAATTTTAAACCGGCTCAATTTAGAATCAATCAAAATTATTAGTTTATCAAAATTAATTTATAAAGTTTCTACTGTATTCAGTTTTGAAATTTATTGGACGAGTCAAACTTAAAATACCCATCTCTGAAATGGACATATAACCAGTCCATTATCATGCTCTAATGATAAATCAATTAAAACAAATTGAAACTGTACTCAAAAGTTTTACATATGAGAAACATTCTTTCACTCTCCATATTTATCAGAACATCATAAAGTTTGAACAACACTGCATAACGAAAACTTCAACCTACAACCAAAACTGCATAACGAAAACTTCAACCAACAACCGCGCCAGAAAGTAAAACATAACAAAAATATCTATAGATTTAAATTGGACATTGGCCAATATTGTACAAAAGGATGTTTAATATGGTTTTTGCTGC